TAGCGAGTGCAGGCGTTCGGCTCATTCGCACATCAAATCCGAGTCGATAACGAATCCGCTATTCATTTAACGCCGAGTTGACTTCCCTTACCGCTGCGGAGGGGGTGCGATCTCGGGGGAAACCGGTGATGGATGGGGGGTGGGTGGGGAGGAGGAGGAGGAGGGGTGAAGGGGATATTTGGGGGATGGTTTGGGTTGGGGGTGTCTGGTGGGGAAGGTAAGGGGGGGGGTCCTGAGGGCGGAGTTTGCATCTAGGGGGGATATCTTGGAGGGAGAGGTTTGGATAGGGGGTTGAAGGGGGAGGGTGGGGTTGGCGGGTATCTGGAGGAGGCTGGGGTGTCATGGAGGGGCGAGAGGTTGTATTAGGGGGTTGAAAAGGGTTTTTGAGTGGGGTAGGTGCCGGTATCTGGAAGGGGCAGGTTTGGGTAAAGAGGCTATTTGAAGGGGGAGGATAGGTAGGGTGGTTGAAATGGGGAGCGTCCGGTATGGGTATCTGGAGGGGGAGGGTTGGGTAGGGGTGTTATGTTGATGGGAGGTAAAGTTTAAAGGGCGATATTTTTGAGAGGGAAGTTGGGTAGGGTCAGGAGGGAGGTTTGGAATGGGGTATCTGGCAGGGGTGGTTGGATAAGGGGAGGATATCTAAAGAAGCGGGGATGAGTACGGTATCTAAAGCAGGGGGGGTCGTTGAAGGAGTATCGGAGAGGGAGAAACTGACATATCATACTACCGGGAGGGAGGGAGGGAGGGTCTAGCGAGGAGGGGTGGGGTGTCAAGGGGGGTCATTACAGAGGGGAAGATGGACGGGAGAAGGGAGGGCTATATCGGTTAGTTATTGGTTTGTTTAACATCGTTTCTGCGCCATCGCCGCGGTTGCATATCGTGTTGAAATAGACGAGGTGGAAGGGGAGGGGGAGAGGGGGGGATGTAGGCGGTGCTACGGGGTGACTCGTTTGGGGTGACATGATGACTTAATTGGTTTATGATCTGTTTTATGACATACATAGTGAACCTGTTATTTTTTATGATGCTGTTTATGATAAATGACATGGTGACGCTGTTATTGGTTTATGAATCTGTTTATAAATGACAGGTGACCTGTTATTGGTTTTGACTGATGTGATACTCTGACACGATGACCTGTTGTGGTTGGTGTGATGACCTGTTTTGGGTGATGTGGTAACCTGACATGAGTGACATGCTAACCTGTTTTGTTTGGTATTATGACCAATTTGAAGTGATTGTACCTGATACACAAACAGAACAAACAAACAAAAAATCGGCGAGCTTGGACCTTATGATTCTTTTGGAGCGGGGAAGGATTAGCTTTCAGATGCTATGGACCTTCGGGTGGTTTGCTCCCCCTCCACCCCCCCGCGGAGAATAAAAAGTGCGTGACTGGAGTGGGAGGGCTTGCGAATAATTCCTCCTCGCTTCGCGCCCTCGCGCTTCCTTTCTCTCTTTCCGCGTTACTTGTATTGATCTGTTTCTCTCTTCTGGTTCTTCGTATTCTGTCTCCTTCTAAGTCTCTTTTGTGTTGATGTTCTTGGTATGTTTATTCTTATTTTATTTTTTGAAATCGTTTCTGTCCTTCTGTCTCTCTCTCGTCCGTCTGCTCTGCGTCTCTCCGTCTCTCTCCTCTCTCGGGTTCGTCTTCACTCTCTCTTGCTCTCGTTTATTTCTTCTCGTCTCCTCTCTCTCTCTCTATCGTGATCTCTCTTCTCGTCGTCCCTCTCCCTCCCTCCCGTAGCTCACTTCCTCTGCCCTGCCCCCCCTCTCTCTCTCCTTATCCTTTCTTCTGTCTCTGTCTGGTCTCTCTCTCCTCTCTCTCTCTCTCATCTCTCCCTCTCTCTCTCTCTCTCCTCCTCTCCTCTCTCGTATCTCCTCTCTCTCTTCTCTCTCTCTTTCTCTCTCGTCTCTTTCTCTCTCGCCTCTCCCTGCTTGCTCTCCCTGCTCCCGTCCCCCTCTCTCCGTTCCCCCCCCCCCTGGCCGCCCCCCGCTCTGGTCGTCC